TTTTCTCTTTGTTCTCTCTGTGAAAAGTCGTAAATCTAATCCCAAAATTTTCAATTACGCTACGTTGATTAGTTCCATTTTACGTGCCGTATACATTCATGCGAATTCGACGTGAAAGCTCGCATAATTAGCACAATTTCAAGTTATTAGGTGCGTCAAGTTGTGTTAACGTTTATGTTAACGTGTATGTTAGTCTTTATAGAAAATGAGAGACAAGATTGAATTCATTTAAAATTTCCACGATTTTTACACTAGCGTGGGCTTGAATAGAAATAAATATTCAATAATCCATAATTACATAAAATTCGTAGTTAATATACAAGATGTCCCAGGAGTGTCTCTCCTGAGATAATTTGAAATAACCTTTTCCTTTACAAAAATATTCTCCGAGGCGTCGTTAACGAGTTATTAACGGAAGAACTCTGACCAATAAGGGGCGAGCGGTTGAAGCCCGCTGATTGGCTCGGCCGCTTTGCGCCGCCTCGCGTCTGCCGATCTCGCCTCTCATTGGCCGCTGTTTTTCGTTAATAACTCGCAAACAAAGCCGCGGATCGCATTTTCGCTAAGGAGAAAGTTGCTTCAAATGTTCTCAGGAATCCCTTATTTCCATATTTCAAGACATTTCTATTTTAACATAATTGTGGAATATAGTACAGTATAGTACAGTTAACATTGAAACGCAGCATTTTGAAACTGGGCGCTGAGAATATTATTGGTAAAATATTCTACGCGCAGGAATATATTTAAAAACGTGCTGTAATACAACACGCATGTATTATAATAATAAATAATAAATAATAAATGCGTTAGTTTACGTTCGATAACTATACATCAAGACGATCGGTTGAATTTAATCATTTTCGAATCCCCTATTTCCGGATTGCGAGATATTCTTGCGAGAATATCCAACAAATTAAGTTCTAAATAGACCGAAGAAATTGCAAGAATATCCCACAATAATATCCTCAAATTGATTTCATTTTCTGCACGTGTCCTAATGCTTTCGGAGGCCGCGCGACGTTCGTATTTCCGACGGCAGACGTCTCGGCGACAACGGACATCTTCGACCGCGCTACAAAAGAGAGAAAACGTATACAGTAAAACGTGCAGCATGTTCTCGAAGGCAGAAACAAGAAAGAGACCGAGAGGTCTCGCGGTCACACGGTTGCATCCTGTCCCGTATCTTTCCAATTTCCAGCGTGTAAATAACACACAAGAGGCGCCGTCAATTTTTCGCCGAATCGAATGAGTTTTCCGGCGCGCGGGTGTCTCGCGCGAACAATAACACCCTATTCTCGGGCGAGGACGATCAGGCTGGGTCCGCGATCGGCAGTCGGGGCGCATCGCGTCGCATCGCGACGGGTCGCGGATCGCGCCGCGTCGGATCGCGGATCGCGACGCATCGGTGGGCCGCGGTGGATCTCGATTGTGCCCGGGGCACGAACACGCCCGGCATATTTATATTTCAGAATTTTTCATTGTGAATCAGTTTCTGGGCCACGAGATACGGACCGCGCGCGGAGTCTCTCCTATTGAAAACCGGCCGCCCGCGGTCGGCCGTGAGTAGTACTGTCGTTCGATAAACGGCGTCTTTCGGTTCAAAGATAAGAATCTCGGATTCGAGGTCAGCCAAGCAGTCCTCGAGGCCTCCTTTGGCCATCGGCAAATTTCGAAAGGGCGCTCGACCTCGTGCGAGCTGGCTACCGGAGCCGTCACCCACCCCTACGCCCACCCGCCCCTCTGTCACCTGTCCAACATAGACGCACGGCGGATCCGGCGTGTGCCTGTGCGACCCACACATCGGCCAACGTGTCGCGCACGCGAGCCTATCTCGAGCGGGACCGGCACGATCGAGATGAATTGATGCGACACCGCCGTCGGGACGACGGGAGACAATATCTAATATCGGGGAGGGGCAGGAGGGTGGTTTGAGGACGGCCGGTATTGTAAGTAGGTTCTCCTTTTTCTTTTCCTTCCTCCGTGTCTCGCGCATCCTTTTCTTTTTTAATATGGCCGCGGCGGCCGGCCACTCGGCTACTCTTCTTGTACGATCAACCGAAAGGGAAGCGGCCGGGGGTGGCTCAATACCTTGCGGAAGGTCAAGCGTCCTCCGAGCCAGACAATGAAGCACTCCTGGACCCGTACAATGTGTGTCCAGCTTCGGTGTGTACGCCCGATTATTTCTCGGCATATGCGGGGAATCTCCGGCCGCGGAATTCTGGCGGACGCAACGGCCGATGGGATTGCTCGGGCCGCGGATCAACCCCCGGTGGACAGGCTCGGCGTGGTATTTTCTGGAGGGATCATCGGTGCAATGCGCCCACGGGGTCCGCTGGTGCTACTTCTTTCTAGGGTTGGGATCTGTGGAGTTTTTAAACGGTGGTGCTGGGTGGTACATGTTTTGAAACGTGTTTCTTCTTAATTGTTAATTGTTCTTGTATTTTTGTTTCGGAGTACTTATTGATTCTTGTATTTCTATGGGGTATACTACTGTGGTTTTTTATTTATAAACATTATAGTTTTAGATTTTTAGATTTTCGTACTTTGTACTTGTATGTTTTTGTATTCTCCTGTTCGACATTTATATATTTATTATATTTGCGTAATTGCATTTTCGATTGTGTGTATCCTCACAGTTTTATATTCAATACTTCTACTGTATTTATGTATTGCTATAATTCTCTATTGATATATTCATATATTGTTAGATTTTTGTCTCTCTAAACA